CTATCTTTCCCTATATAGTATATATATATATATATATATATATATATAAAAGATAAGATACTTATTTTGATCACGAGTACTCATATGGGGCCTCTTCAAGACATTGTGGTATCTTGGCCACACGTCAGTAATTAAATCTTCAAGACATTGCGGTATCTTGGCCACACGTCAGTAATTAAACCTTTTGGAATGTTAGTTTTTTATTTTTTAATAAAATAAGAAATATCTATTTTTAAATAAAAAAATGAGATCATGTCTGAACGGTAGACGTCATATTGTTGAGGCATGCATAATAGCCAAAAAAGAAAAAAAAAACGAAGCCAATTAGCAAATTTGATTGGTACATGGTACTCGGCCTCGCCAATAGGCTAAGGCCAAGTAACATAGCCAAGTCCAAAAATGGTAATCTATCTGCACCCAAAATCGTAATTGTTGTTTTCTTTAATTTATTGAAATTTTAGAATATTTTATCTATGGTAAATTGAAAATCTACTTTTACATTGATAATGAAATTAGAAATTCTAAAAATGGGTTTGCCATTAGAACGGTCAACTAGTAACTTAGCCGGTCTACTCTAAACCAAACATTGAGTTTAGTTAGAAAATTATCTAAAACCAATATTTGACTAGTTTATCGGGTCGATATTGACTTATTGAATAAAGGTGGTATATAATACCAAATTTAGAAAAAGTTTATATGAGGTTGCAGCCATATATTATAGAAGTAAGGTGCGCATAAAAAATCCAATAGAAAAAGTGTTTTGAAGTTGGAAACCTTCCAATTGATCATCTCCAACTTGCAATGTATATATATAAAGAGAAGGCTATCAAATACTTAGAAAAATGAATCTTGTAAGATGTTATATGGATTGTCAATTTTCAAGATTTGTAAGTGTTTATAGATCTATTTAATATGCAATATTTTTGGAATTTTAAAGTTAACCTAGACTTTCAAGTCATCAGTAAAGTTCTTACATTAAGACTATATCTTCCAGAAACAAATTAGAGGTGCACTTGTATTGCATAAAGTGGACGGGAAAATATATAATCATACCAGTTGTCTTTTGTACAAGGTGGTCATAATTGATTATTGGATGTGAATTGGGTGGTTGCATTTATTATATTGGTCAAAATTTAAAACTTCAAATTAAAAAAATCCTCTCAAGTGAGTCATCTGACCAAGGAACATGGTATATATCCTCATAGCAATAGGTTAATGGTTTTATTGTATACGATCCTTAAATTGGAGATTGTATACAAACCTCACCTTTTATATTTGAAGCGATTATTTCAATTTTGTTTTTCTTTTTCTTTTATGAAAATATGATCCAATCAATTTTGACTAAATTTGTGGGCCGGTTATGATAATACTGATTCACACACCTCTCGCTCCCTCCTCTCTCTCTCTATCCTTCTTACATTAATGGAGCTCAATTTCATTCATCTATCTCTCCAATTCTCTCTCATATATGTTTTCGTTCACTTCTCTCTCTTAAATTTTTTTTTTTTGATTTTCCTTTTGAAATGTTGATAATACTTGATTCTTAATCTCATAGGATTGTATATTATGAGACTATTTATTTTTGAAACAATTAGTCACAATTATTCATAATCATTAGATGTCAAATTGGATGTTTTGGGTGTATTACGAAGTTTTAGAAATTATTTTTGAATTTTGAGTCTAATTTAAGACATACTCGCAACCATCTGATTTGAAATTGAATATGGTTTTTGTGGCCGGTCCGCATATTATAGAAAGGCGAGCTTGGCAATACATATATTTTTTAAATATAATTTGATCTTAATTTTTAAAGAATATATAATCTTTAATGTGGAGATCGTAAATATGAATTTTTTTTAAAAAAGAATTAAAAATAATAATTATATTAAAAAAATATTTGAAAAGTTAATGACATTTAGTTTTTAGATGAACCACTTATTTACATATGGATGCTTAATACCTTTGGACCAATAAATAGGTCCAAAAGTCGTTGTGTCCTCTTTTCCTTCTCTTTTTCCACGTACGGAGAAAAGGTCCTTTGTTCCCAATCACCAGCCATACTAACATCATATTCACTCATCCAAGCAAGCATTGGACCACCGGCTTAGATTGAAATAGTGCCCACTTCTCTAGGGATTCTAAACCATAAATCAAAGAAACTTGTCCTTTCACGCTTTTTCAAATCTTATCTGCAAAATGATGCTCAATCTTCGACAAGACTCACATTTCACTTAAATAATTGATAGGATATAGTCAATTACATGTTATTCTAATTGTGTAACCAATATATGTTGAAAAAAAGAAAAATTTACTAACCAACAATTAATATTTGAAAAAATATACAATTAAACTATTTATCTTTGGTACAAGGTGGTTACAAATAACTATGATCATTGAATGTAAAATTGGATGGTTGTATTTATTTCATTGACTGAGCTCAAAGTTCAAAAATCTTTCTCGAATTTTGTGATAAACAAGCTATTAGATTTCATAAGTAACTGTGATCTCTTTGTATCAAAGGTAAATGAAAACCTCATGGATGAGTTGTTCTATGGTTAACATCTCTAGTTATTTTTAGAAATGGGTGAGGTTTGTATAAGGTTGCATACTTATACTGCAGAGGTAAAGTGCACCTCTAAGATTTGTTTAGAGATATCATTCTAATGTGAGAAACATTTGATGGCTTGAAAGTCTGTTTTCATCTTTAATTATAAAAGTTTAAAATTCAAAATAGTACAGATCGAGTAGGTCAATAGATACTTGAAAATCTTAAAAATAGATTGTCAACTTGTTACAAGATGTATTTTTTTAAAGCAGAATTATGGGCTTTATTATATGGAGCGAGGAGACTCACATAGGACTTAACAAATGTAGTTATTAAAGGGGATTCTCTAAATGTGATTAAGTGGTGCAACGCTTCAGACACAATTCCATGCCAGTGGATTCAAATATTGGGTTGAATTTTATTGGAGTTTCCGGATTGGGAAGTGTTATTTTTAATCAAATGGGAGAGAAATGGGGTAGCAAATTCTTTAGCCAAAGCTAGTGAAGTGATGTGATTTTGGCTCGCCAGTCTAGTCCTCCTCACATTCTCGTCCTCTTGTTCTCTTGTTCCTTTGTTCTTGTTTGTTTTTTTTCTTTCTTTCTTTTTCTCTTTTCTTCTTTTTTTTTTTTTTTTGTTTCAAAACCGTATTTTCTATTTTTATTCAATAAAAAGATAACTTTTTTTTTTCTTTTTTTCTTATGCCATACATATCGATGTTGAGATGAGATGATTAATTGGAGGGTTCTCTAACACTGAAAGGTTCTCTTCTGCAGGGTATTTCCTTTATTAATCGTTGGAAACTATATATGAAATCATATATGTCCCATTTAAAGAATCTAATACGGGACACGATTTCTAAAATTCTAAGTTATGAAAAATCTTAGTTTTGAAAGTAATTAATGCAACTAGGGCTTGTTAAACTCCTTACCATAACTATTTTTTTCCTTAATACTCCTAAAATTTCGTGAAAGACATGAGATGGGGGACTTACCATTTCCCATTTTTTCATATTTAACGTATTGATTTATTTATTTTCGACTAGTTTATGTCTGTATAAAGCAATTGGAGTTTTAGCTATTCCTACAAACAATTTTATTTATTACATTTAATTTGTAGACAACATTTTTATGATATTTTTAAATAAGAGATATTTAATAGTAAAAAAATAAAATAAAATTGAACATTCAAATTTTGATTTTGAAATTTTAGGAAAGTCATGGCTGTTCTACTTTTCATGCACTTTTGAGAGATGAATGGAGATGGATTTATTGAATGCGATTTGACATAGAAATTACCAATGGAGTGTGAGTAGGAACTCGAAATCTTTCTTTTTTCACATATTCATACGTTTTTTTGATATGATGAATTAGAGGGTTTTACAACACCAAAGCAGCCTTTTCCAAATGACAAAGGAAGAGTCTTCACAAAAAGCAGGCAGATAAAATTAACTTAAAAAAAAAAAAAAAGTTAAAAAGAATAGGCAGGAAAATTTGAACCCAAAACTAATGTGGCAGTTCTCTGTGAATTCATTTTCCTCTTCTTGGTTGTTAAGTCATGCTCAAAAGCCTCTCTACTTCCAAATGAAGGGGCGAGCATATTTGTTACTAAAATAAAATATGATCCTATTTCTAGAGAGAATGCAGGGAAAGTGACCTTGTTTGGGACAAATTTACGGAATTCCATTGCAATTATAAGTTTGGGCTATCATGGTAAAAGCCGAATGCCGACAAGTTAAAATTGGTTTTTTTATTTTTTTAGGAATTATTTTTGGTATAAGAAGGCACAATTATTATTAATCAAAATCTGGTTAGATATGTGCTAATGATTGGGCACAAAGTTTAAAACAAATTTTTTTAAATAATTTTGATTTCATTGTATCAAAGGTAAATAGCCTTATAGTTGACAACCCTTGTTTGACAAACTTTTTATTGTTTGGCAACCATTTTAATCAAATAAGTAAGCACTTGACGTAAAAAGAGGCTGGGTCATGGTGATAGTACCTCATACTTTAGTCACCACATTGTGGTTTCTATTTATACTGATACCACTTTACGAATACCTTCACAAAACTACCTTTTAAACTATTTAAAAAAAAAGAAATTAGGGACATATCATCCGCATTGAATTACCAAAAAAAAATAAAATAAAATTACAATGCAAAATACAAGGCACAAAGTGTTCACAGTAGCTCAACCTAATGGGGAGACAGAAGTAAAACGCTCACCAAGAATCGAGACGCACAAATTAAATCCAAAAATCAGG